TTAAAGGCATGCAGCAGTTTATATGAAGCAGCAAATTCCCAGCGACACAGGCTGTACAGCTTTTTTGCTGAGGAGGCCTGTGTTTTGCTGCAGTGATAAATAACTTAGAAGTCTCTCCATCCATGCGGTCGTTTGAGTCCTCTCAATTAACCGCTCGGCTGAGTCCTGTCTGTGCACTTCAGTCGGWTCTGTGTGCCACATGTAGCCTACTTCCATCTGACTACATCAGCCAGTTGGCGTTTGTGCCAGCAAATTAAACTTGTAAAACAAAAAATAAGTACTGGAATTAAAGTGAATGGAGTTTTTWAAAATAACTACGGTTCTTGGTTTGTTTCTTCTTGTGCAACGGAGCAGACATTTGATGATGTTATATATATATTTTTTTATCTCAAGAATCAGTTGTGACCCATCACATCAAATCTTGGATTAAGTCATATTTTCAGATCTCTGGCTTTTTAATCTACATTTTGATACCGGAATCGTCCTGATATCATGAGAGAGATATGGCTGTTTTTCTCTTGCTAATCCAGAAGACCCCTGGAAAACTGGTCTGAATCCCATTTTCAGCGTATTTCTTGACATCATTTGAAAGGGGAGGAAACCTCAAACCAGTTTTAAATATTGAGATTTTTCAGCTGGAATTGAAATTATCTTCAGCAGCTCACAGGGAACGTATCAAAAACTTAGGGTTTATTTGCTCAAAATCATTGCTAAGTGGTCCGAAAAGTGCCTCAAAATATTCTTTAGGATTATATTTCAGACATTTATTTCAAGGGACTCATAGGTAAGGTTATCATATTTTTGTTAAATAAATGTGGTGCTTTATACAGTAGCTACCCGTATCTCACTTCTGGTCAGTTTTATATGTGAGTTCATGGTTATTTACTTTAGCCATCTGCACACACATGCRCTCTGATGTGTGGCAATAAAACTTCCGGTCTTCGTTTTTTTCATATTTAAGTTGGATTACCCAAACCCATTCATTTAACTGTTCTGCACTGCTTTTTTAGACCACAATAAGTGTAAATTCTCATGTAAACTACATGTGTTAGTGCTTCAGCCCAAAGACTTGCAGTAGTATAAAATAAACTTGTGCGATGGACACAGCCTGCAGGACCCGTATTTTGTAAAGACTGGCTGGACAGTCGCCAGCCATGATTTGCTGAATGCTAATCGTGATTTCACGTGTTCTCTGTAAGAATATGCCTGTGTCTGTAAGCTTTACTCTCCTGTTGGAYCCTTATAGTGTCGTATTATAAACCAGAATAAGTCCCTGCAGTTGACGTTATATGATGTGGTACWTAGAAAGTATTAAATCACATCCTCTGCTTTATCTAYTGGTGCCATGATCTTCTYTTAAACCCACTGAAATCTAAATTTCTACCTTACAACAACATTCATTCAGGTGGTTTGTACATTTCAAAGATGTGCCTGAATAAAGATGCAAATAACAAGTTTGCCAAACATTTMGGTTAAACCATGTCTGAAAGCTGCCATACTCATTCAGAAAATGTGAAATCCACTTCTTTTTTAAATTATGTTTTGAACAGTCTATTTCAGGGGTGTCAAATTCCAGTCCTCGCGGGCCGCTATCCTGCATGTTTTAGAGGTTTTCCAGCTCCAACACACCTGATTCAGTGATTGAATTAACTCTTCAAATTGGGCAGAAGCCTGTTAATCACCCAGCGATCAAAATCAGGTGTGTTGGAGCAAGAAAACCTCTAAAACATGCAGGATAGCGGCCCTCGAGGACTGGAGTTTGACACCCCTGGTCTATTTCCTGACTGTAGCATGTCACCACTAGAGGGAGGCTCTGAGATGAAAGTATTGTTTTGCCACTACCTCACTACCAAAGTGGCTGACTGTTAGTGGCTCACATCTGAGCCTGTCCTGCAGTCAGACATGACTGAGGACCAGCTTTGTGTTTGGSTGGAAAATTCCACGGCTTTCTTTCGCTAATAATAGCTCAGTTACTTTGTACGCACCATGACGGTTCTGGAAAAAGGGGATTTTGTAGAGCCGAGGAACCAAAGCCACTGTTACACCAACAGGTGGGTCTTTTGATGCCGAAGGTTCCCAGATCGCCAGCTCCACCAAAAAAAAAAATCCTCCTAAAACAAACAGAAACTCACAGCAGGTGGACTTCATCTCATCTCACAGGAGTGGTCTGCAGGCGGAACAACAGAGCAGCACTTACAGACAGGGTTATGATGGGTTGTATTTCACTGCTGAGGTACAGTTAAGTACTCTGCTTTAGTCTGTCTCTGCTCCCAGTGTGGCTCCTAACGAAGATCCTCCTTCATTTAATCCAGCTCATTTGAGCACAGATGAACTGTTGTCAGATCATCTCTGGACTCTCACTGGTTTCTGAGCCCAGCAAATCACTCAGTCACTTGTTTACCACAAACCTTAATCAATTATTGATCTCCGTGATCAGACTCTCTTTCTCATCATTAATAAATTCTCAAGCATTAAGTTCATTAAGTTAAGCAGTCAGATCTATAGCAAAGCACACAGGCTTTGTTGTTTTATAAGCTTTTATTCACAGAGACTCTTGAATGTGCTCGATGTCACTTCTGGTGATTAGTTAATTTTATGATTTTATTCATCTTAAAATTGGAAAATAGATGTTTAATGACCCAGAAAGGGCAAGTCTAAAAGTGTCCATGTTAGCCAAGTAGTTCATATAATAAGGCTTCTGGAGTTTAAAAAAAATTATTATTAAAGTAGCAGAAGTGAGTAAAACTCAGAATATAGGAACCTGTTTCTCATAGAAAGTTAAATGTATTGAACTTTACCTTAGAACAAACTTTTTATTTAAAACTATGATTCAGATCTAAATATAAACCTAAATATTCATATTTAGAACATTTATAACATCTCTCTGGAGATGAAAATATCTGCGTGTCTTTGGACCATGACCCTTTTTTTTGCCTTCGCTCAGTTTTATGGTTTTCCAAACTCCAAAGCTTTCTCCTTATAAAGACAAACATGACAGCATATTTTAATACATTAGGGGAAAAAGGTCTGTTAACATGTAAATTATACACGTCTAGAAAATAGTTGAGCGCTGCTGTTCAGATTTTGAAAAGACGATAATTTTTAAAGATTATAATACAGAAACTGAATAAATGACCTTACATGCAGCTTTAATAAGTCTGTATGGATCTGTCTGTAATGAAGTTTATAGAACCAAAACATAKGTTAGAAAAGCCTTTCATCCTTTACAGCTTAAATTCTCAACACAGCTTTTGTCTCAGTGGTGGGACATTGTCCTCTTGGCGCCCGAGTGTTGGACAAGTAGATTGTGTTAAACGCTGACAGTGTCAAGTGACCTGACTAGCTCTTTGCTATATTCAGATCTGATGAGAGCTGAACAGAAAGAGGTGATGACATCTGCTCAGGAGAATCGAGTGTGTCACTATCAGTCTGTATGTGTCAGGATTATTGGTTTCTGTGYGTTTGCATATAATTGTCCCCAAAGACGAGCTTGGTGGCATAACAGAAGAAAAATCCCACCATCATGTCAGCATTTACTTTCTGTCTTGTTTTTACCACATGGGAATTTAATTGAGTTGYTGAGATTTGCTTCACAGTGTTGTTAACAGTAAAACCAGCTTTCTCTTTTAGAAAGTGGAGTACTTTCTACCCTGCATTGCTTATTGCTGGTTTGGGAAAAGAATAAAAAGTAATATCGTGGCTCAAGCAAAGGTCATGAAAAGCAAAAAAACACATTATTGTGCTTTTGAGGAATTTGACTAAAGGAATACAAATAACTTGTTTAAATGTATTTTGCCAAGTTGCACATCAGTTATTTATATATATAT